ATTAGTAAATTTTCTTGGGACAAATAACCAACTGTCATAGCAAGACATTTCATTTGTAAGTCCAGTGCCTTGCATAGGTATTCACCCCCTGTTACAACATGGAGCTGAAATGAACTTCAGCCCCACAAAGCTGAGCTTCATGGAAGAGTGGTGGGAAGAAAGCGCATTTGATAACACAGCAAACATGTGTAAATGCTTCTCAGGTGTGATGAGACCAAAATTAAACTTTTTGGCCATTGCACAAAGTGCTACGTAGGGCAGGTGCTCATCACCCTGAAAACACCTTCCCCACAGTGAAGCATGGAGCAATCCTAAAAGAAAAACTGTTCCAGTCTGCAAAAGACTTGACACTGGCCCAGAGGTTCAACTTCCAACAAGATAATCCTGCCATAGCTACACTGGAGTAATTCAAAACCAAGAACCTGAATGTGTTAGAATGGCCCAGATGTACCTCAATCCATCTGGAAATCTGTGACAAAACTTGAAAATGGTGTCTGCAAAATGCTGTAAATGTAAATGAAAGGTGCTAACTTTCCTCTTCCATATACAGTGGAATTAGAAAGTATTCAGACCCCTTTTCTTGATGCACACTTTATTGTGCTGTGGACTTGATTTTTAATGGCTATAATTGCTAGTTTTCCCCATCAGTCTACACTTAATTGGCCATAATGATGAAGTGAATTATTATAGATTTTTTGAAAATTAATTAAAAATCAGAAACTGAAATTTTTTATTCACAAAAGTATTCAAATACTTTGCTGTGGCACTCCAAATTATGGTCATCATTATGGTTAGCTTTAATTTTCCTTGCCTTGGTCGGGGAGGTCAGAAAGAACCCAACAGTCACACTACAAGAGCTCCAAAACTCCTGTGCAGAGATGAGAGAACCTGTTGGACAGACAAGCATCTCTGCAGCACTCCAAAAATCAGGCCTTCATGGCAGAGTGGCAAGATGGAAGCCACTGTTGACTAAAAGGCATATGACAGCATAAAGCATTCTGGTCTGATATAATGAAAATTGAACTCTTTGGGCCAAACAGCAAGCACTATATCTGGTGAAAAACAGGCACTGCACATCACCTGGATAATACCATCCCTACAGTGAAACATGGTGGTGGCAGCATCGTGCAATGGGGGTGCTTCTCGGCAGCAGAGACAGGGAGACTGGTAACAATTGAGGGACGGATGAATGCAGTCAAATACAGGAACATCCTTGAAGAAAACCTCTTCCAGAATGCAAGCAAACTCAGACTGGGGCGACAGTTCACCTTTCAACACGACAATGACCCTAAGCATACAGCCAGAACAGCACTGGAGTGGCTTCGGGGCAAGTCTTTGAATGTCCTTGAGTGGCCCAGCCAAAGCCCGGGCTTAAGCTCCATCAAACATCTGCAGAGAGACCTGAAGATGTCAGTTCACAGACACTCACCATCCTGACTGATGGAGCTTCAGGGGGGATCTGCCATGAAAAGTGGGATAAACTACCCAAAGCTTGTAGAGATGTATCCAAGAAGATATTTAGCTGTAATTGCTGTCAAAGGGGTTTCTACAAAGTATTAAATAAAGAGTCTAAATGCTTTTGTGAGAAAGAGATTTCAGTTTATTGATTTTTAATTAAATTTTGAAAATCTCCAAAAACATGTTTTCACTTCATCATTATGGGAGATTAAGTATAGATTGATGGGTAAAAATGTCAACTATATCCATTCAGAATTGAATCCACAACACAATAAAGTGTGCAACAAGTAAAGGGGTCAGAATACTTTCTGAATCCACTGTACTTGAGTTCACAGACAGGAGAGAGAGTGACACCATCCCTCGCACCCAGCGAAGACAGTTTTGATCCCTTGGACTTGGCCATGGATGACTGTTGCATTGCTGGGATTCGACCTATTGTTACATTTAAGTCAAAATGGGAACATAATTGCTGTAATATAAATGTGAACAGGATTTCCACATTCATTAGAGAAACTGAGCTGGATATGTGAAGTTCCAGACCAGTGAACACTTTAGCCTTGTTTACTGTATTTCTGTCCCCAATTCACCTCGAAATATTAGTTTAAAAGTAGGAAAAACAAGCTAATTAGCAAAGCATTATGTAGACAGCCTTCAGCAACAGAGGGTCATTTATGTGACAGTGATATTTATGCTACTTATGCTTGAAAGAACTGTGCAGTAATTACCTACGCTTGCTCTCTTTCAGCCTGTTCTGCATCTCATGTTTGTTTTTTCTGGTCAGACAGCCATGGTCATTTGCAGGTCACAGGCAAACATAGACATATGGTGGATTCATTTACTCTTCCTGTGCAATCAGAACACTTTCTGGCCTAAACAGCATCTACTAGGCCTCGCTGTAAATGTAACTTTAAAGTATTGATAATTTGTTCCTAGACAGAAAATCAAATAACCTCAGATTATTACTGTGTCACCAACCATCTCTCCACTCATTACTTCCTCTCTTAACATCTAATCAATTCCCTTCACAGACAATCCATCACGCTCTTATGGCCCCATCTAGCTCTTCCTTACTTTTGTGTAATTAATATCCTGCACAGAGAGAGAGCTAGAGAGGGGAAGGGAGAGAGAGATATTTCACATCTTCAACAGGAAATCCATATCTGGAGTTGGCCAAGTCGACCGAACTGTTGCCATGGGAACCGTTGCCAGCTGTTGACCGTTTGCACGGCCAGGCTTTCGGCAAATGCTCAGGGAAAACTAGAAGAACTCCATTATATAAGCATAACTTTCCTTTCGCTCTGTCTTTCTTTTTTTCTCTTTCTATGACGCAGGTGATTTGCAAAGTGCAAGGAAAAGTTCAGCTGCTATTCATCAAACTCGTTGTGCTCTGCAAATTCATCTTCTGAATTGCACTGAGCTCAAACCCAAAGGCTAGAGGGTCCGGATGTCCGCAACGTCCAGCTTACTCACAGTCCAAGGTGAAATTCTGCTAGTGGTTTTTTATGCTTTTTTTTAGTTTTAATTTCTACAATTTATGCATGGTGCATGCAATAAATAATTGTTGCATCAAAAACATGCATCAGTGAAAAGATTATGCGTGCAACATGTGCAACATGCATTGTGCCCTTTGCAGAAAGCCCTTATAATTTTCCTTATAAGCCCCAAGTTCCTGTTTTGCAGCGAGAGTTTAATCCCCTCAGCAGTATCAAACAGCAAAATGCTGCATAAACAGTCCACATCCTCTCACTCCCCTGTTGCTGGCTTGGTCATGCTGATTTCTTTTTCTTGCTGCAGCAGGCTGATCGTTTGATATTTTTCTGCCAGTTCCTTGAGACTGACTGAGCAAGCTGAGCTTTGCACAGGAGAACACAGAGAGAACACCTATACAGCAACCTCCTCTGCTCAGACAAAGCACAAGGTCATTGGTAAATCACTCTTCTCACACCAGAGCATTAGTCTAGAGGGCTGTACTAAAACCATTAGGCGATCCCTCTCTCCACACACGATCATATTATGTTATTTTCAAAATTAGAATTGGATCAGGGTATACAGGATGTGAGAGAGAAAGAGGGGAGAAAAGTAACAAAAAAAGTAGGTCTTTTTTTTTTTTTTTTTTTTTGGCCCTCACTTCCGGTGATCCAAAAAAGACTCCTGCCTCCACCTACTGACCATATTGAGTATTGCAACCATTACTCAGACTGTACCACATACAGTGACTTATAGAATGTGGGTTTTCTGGTGGGTGTGTGGGTGTGTGTGTGTTGTTTGCTTTTTGTTTGTTTAGTTGGTTTTTTGTAGATTCGTTTTTCTTTGTGGAGTAGTTTGTTTTTGTGTGTTTTTTGTTTTTTGTGGATTTATGTTTTATATATACATATATATATATATATATATATATATATATATATATATTTCATTTTTTGTTTTTTCAGGGTTTTTTTTTTCAGTTCATATTGCCTTTTTGTTTAGTCTTAGTTTTCTTCATAGGGGAAATTGTTTTTGTTTGTTTGTTTTTGTTTCTTGTGTTTGTTTTGTTGGTGGGAATTTTTGCTGCTTTTTGTTTTTGATTGTTTTCTCAGTGGGCAGTTTATTTTTTGTTGATTTTTGTAATGTTTTGTTGTTTTTATGTTTGTTATGTTTTCATGGGTGAGTTTTTGTTTAAGGAATGCCTCATGTATATAGTGCTAGTCACTATATAGTGTGCCATCACATTCACACACATTTATTATTATTATTATTATTATTATTATTATTATTATTATTATTACTATTATTATCATTACTAATGTTGTTGTTGTTATTATTACTATTTAGCATGCCATCTATTAGAATGGAGAGATCCCTCATCGCCGATGTCCCTAATAAATAAGCTTCTTTATCTTTCAACCGGAAGTATGTGTGTGTGAGAGCCACATGTATGGCACATCACAATAGCCTAGCTGATCCTGCTAATCAGTTACTGTAATGATGCAGACTGCTCTTGCTGGAATTACCAGGACCAAAGGTGGATAAGGCAATGTGCACAATGAAAGCAAATTCAGTGCCTAAAATTTTACTCCCATTCATTTTCAGTGTGATGTAGAGAGGACTTCTCTTCATTCGAGCTATTTTTGCTATTATGTAAATGACAAGCAGACTAATCCAGACTCAGTGAGTTACCTCTATCCAAGCGTAAATAAGCGCCGTTGCTTGCGATGACAGCTTCCCTGCCAAAAAACATGAACAAATAAGGTGATTATAGCAGTTTCACAGTTTCCCGTGCAGTAGGACCCAAAACTTCATGATTACAAAAATAAAACTAAAAGAAATCTCACCTGACAGATACTACTACATACATACTAAAGGCTACAAATAAAATGACTGTTTGATAACTAGCCAAGCTAGACAGTTAGCTAGCATAAATAAAATAAATATTTATTTATTTGAAAAACATACTTTCATGACCAAAATGTTGCTGTTTTTCTTCTTTCCTTCTCAGTTTTATCTGGGCTTAGGACCGGCACTGGGAGTGTACTATCATATGCAACCCCAGCGGCTAGGTTTGCCTCCCTAGCCGGGAATCAAACCCGGGCTGTGGCGTCAAGAGCACCAAGGCTTAACCACTAATCCTCCATGGACCCAGCTTCATAACCAAAATATTAGTTGATAATTAATATGTATGACTCATGCTAGACTTTTGCTTCATTATTACTAAATTTCGCTAACTTCTAGCTAGCTAATGATAGCTGTTCACTAAAACCAAAATTACTTTACACCACGACTGGCTATTATCACCTGATCTTTGTTTTACCCTGGTGTGATGCTCCCCAGTGCGAAGCAGACTTACTGTCACCACTCCTAAGGGGATTATTTTCAACTCAATCTTAATGCCAAAAGGTTACCAAGGTTAATGTTAGGGTTAAAGGCAGGGCTAGCTGTTGAAGCTTCTCTAACAATTCATTCATCTGGAATCCAGTGAAAGTGCTTGTTCTAATTCCCATTACGTGATTCTACATGAAACCAGTCTAATTTAGGCACAGCGATGAATATAAACCTATTATCTCATGTAGTTTTACTGTAATTCTCTAGACAATTCAAACCATCCTCTTCAAATGAGTAAGGGGGCAGTTTGACTAAGTCAGGGATTTTTTTTTTTTAAGAGAACGGACAAGAACATCATGAAAGGAACAGGGGAAACTGGATGAAAAGTGGAAGCACAAATTTAGAACTGAGGCAGACATTTTTGGTCGATGAGACATGACGTTATGATTAAGGTCAACTGTTCAACAGTGAACTTTTATCTGTCAGGCTGGACGAGCGCCATCAGACTAAATACAGAATATTAAATTCCACTTCACACACACACACACACACACACACACACACACAGTAAGTCTGTCTCTCAATTCCCCTATCTCTCTCTATAATTCTGTCTGTCTGTCTTTCTGTCTGTCTCTTTTTCTCTGTCTGTCTATTTGTCTGTCTCTCTGCCCGTCTCTTGCTGTGTCTCTGTATGTCTGTCTCTCTTTCTCACTGTGTCTCTGTATGTCTGTCTCTCTCTCTCTTGCTGTGTTTCTGTATGTCTGTCTGTCTCTCTCTCTCTCTGTGTCTCTGTATGTCTGTCTCTCTCTCTCTCTCTCTCTCTGTGTCTCTGTATGTCTGTCTCTCTGGCCGTCTCTTGCTGTGTCTCTGTATGTCTGTCTCTCTTTCTCACTGTGTCTCTGTATGTCTGTCTCTCTCTCTTGCTGTGTTTCTGTATGTCTGTCTCTCTCTCTCACTGTGTCTCTGTATGTCTGTCTCTCTCTCTCTCTCTCTCATTGTGTCTCTGTATGTCTGTCTCTCTCTCTCTCTCGCTGTGTCTCTGTATGTCTCTCTCTCTCTCTCTCTCTCTCTCTCTCTCTCTCTCTCGCTGTGTCTCTGTATGTCTCACTCTCTCTCTCTTTCCCAAGATTCAAGTACTGTAGCTTTATTGGCATGGTAAAAGGCTTTACATTGCCAAAGCATTGCTAACATTAAATTACAGACATACACATTTACACAAAAAAAAAAAAAAAAAAAGTTCAATAAAATAATAGCAATAAGCAATTTAATCTTTTTCATGGGTTGTGAAGTGGGGAAAAAAGTCCCTAATTTGTGTATAATTAAGGCGTGTTGTTAAAAAGTGCAGTTGTGTTTCCACTTCATTTTGTGTGCCGTGGTGGCACAGACTGTCTTCTTTTGATAGCCAGGTCTGTCTGTGTGTCTGTCCGTCTCTATGACAAGGTTGTGATCACTGAGTCTGTACATGATCTTTATCTATACAGGACTTTTTTAGTACAGGATCAGTCACTGTGCTCAGGTATTCTGCCAGTTTATATTCTCTGTTTAGGGACAGATAACGTTCTAATTTACTGTGTTGAGCTGTTGCTTCTGTCCAGTGTTTTAGATATTTTTCTTTTAGTGTTTTAATAGTTTGATTTGGTCAATCTGGGGATTTGTTCTGGGGTTTGCTTGAACATGTTGTGGATTGTAAAGTCAGCTCTGGGACCAGCTGGCCGAGGGAGCGTCTCTCTGGTGTTAGCTCTTGCTGTCTTAGGGCTTTGTGATGGAGGGTCTCTGTACCACTATTTTTTTAGGTGGGCATGGAATTTAACATTTTTTTAATTTTAATTATTAGTGGGTACAGTGCTAATTCTGCTCTGCATGCATTACATTGTACTCGTAGTATATTTTTGCAGAATTCTGCCTGCAGAGTCTCTATTGGGTGTTTGTCTCATTTAGTGAATGCTTGGTTTGTGAGCGGACCCGAGACCTCACATCCATAGAGCATGATGGCTTCTAGAACCAACTGAATTATTTTTAGCCAGATTCTGATTGGGATGTCAGTTTTGATATTTTTCTCAATAATGTAAAAAGCTCTTCATGCTCTTTCACTCAGCTCGTTCACAGCCTTATTGAAGTTTCCTGTGTTGTTAATGTTTATACCGAGGTATGTGTAGTTCTGAGTGCATTCAAGGAGCATGCTAACTGACAGTGCCTATGTCTGATAAAAGGTGTGCAGGAGGTTAAGTTGCTGTTGTATACCTTCTTTTGTGGGTGAGAGCAGCACCAGATCATCTGCAAACAGGAGGCATTTGACTTCAGTGTCTAGTAGATTAAGACCAGGTGCTGCAGACTGTTCCAGAGCCCTTGCTGGCTTTCTCTCTCTCTCTCTCTCTCTCTGCATGTGTCTCTGTCTGTCTGTCTGTCTGTATGTCTGTCTCTCTCTCTCTCTTGCTCTCTGTCACTCTCTATATACATACAGTATGTCTGTAAGTCTCTCTCCCTCTCTGTCTGTTTCTGTCTATCTGTCTGTCTGTCTGTCTCTCTCTCTCTCTCTGTCTCTGTCTGCCTGTCTCTCTCACTGTATGTCTGTCTGTCTGTCTGTCTGTCTCTCTGTCTCTGCCTATCTGTCTTTTCATCTCTTTTGACGTGTGCACACGCACACGCACACACACACACATTATAATTAGTAATTAATATAGTTAAATAATTCACCTGCTACTACGCATAACCCATATTATGGCTATACCTTATTTGATTCTGCCTGCTTGTGACTGGACCTATGCTCTGGATTTTGACTAGCCTCTAAGCAACACGTGTTACACCAGGTGAGATTATCCACAAGTGTAAAACCTAGGCATAAACTGTTTTTTGGGAAGTGAAAATCTTTAGAGTATCCATGTGGGAGCATCCACAGCAGCAGAGAATGAGTCAGAAGTGCAAGAAAGCTCCAAGCAGAAGTCGAGCATCAGGATGAATCAGGCGAGTGGAGCCACAGCAGTAGAAATGCGTCAGCATCAGGCATTGGCATCATGTGCACGTACAGCTCGACAGAGAAAGAGAGAGAGAAAGAGAGAGAGAGAGAAGAGAGAGAGAGAACAAATCATTAAGTATTAGGTACCGCTTCAAAACATGCCAGTTTAGCTTTATATACAATATGCATCTGCAACAAAATGGATTTGATACTCATGAGAATTATACATTGAGTCCTTGGTCTGCGTGTATGTGCATTATCTTCACATGCTTGTTAATCTCTTATATAAAAAAGAATGCATGTGTGAAAACTGAGCCGTTATTGCTTGTGTGCTTGAATGGAGATGAATGCAGTAAACACTGATCTACATGTAAAATTTGACCGTTATTTAGTTTTTTAGCTATTATTATATCTTGTTCACTTTTCCCTCCCCTTTCTCTCTCTCTCTCTCTCTCTCTCTCTGCTTATTTACTGCTCCTACTCCTCCTTCTGGTGCTCTATTCCTCTCTTATTAAAGTCTACACAAGGCCTTCTGTCTGCAGTACGTGCTGCACACACGGGAATCACTGAGAGCAGAAAAAGCAAGAGTAAGAGCTGTTGTCCTGTTTTTCCACAACACAGGCATCACTTTATCTTTTATACCATATGATTCGCAGTTTGATCATAAAATACCATCAATTTAATCAGTGGTTAAAAAAATACTAGATTTTGGTTTTATGTCTCTCTAGTGGCTCTGTGGCTTTTGTGGGATTTGAACCCACAAGCTACCGGTCATACCCCTCATATGCCACTGCACATGGAGCAGAAGTTGAGATTCAACACGTAACACACAACATTTATTAAATAACGACACGTTTTTGGGTTTATTATTAGGCTTAGATGATGTGTCCACCATACAACTGTGTAAGTCGTTACTATAGAAACAATAACGTATTAAAATGAGCATTAATATAAACCTGTGATTTGAATTACAGCCACATGACTATCAGAGCTGCTGTTAAAGAAAATTAATCAACATCTTCTGACCAATCAGAATCGAGAATTCAAAGAGTGCTGTGGTTTAATTTTAAATAATTTTAATGCATTGCAGTAGTAAAAATGCTGTCTTCTTTTTTCAGTAGTGGACATTTGGACTAAAACTGAACAGGCCAAATACACCTATGTCACATTTGCGTGAATAAAATATTTCAATGTTTTTAATATTTGACTAAATGTATTCAGAGCAATAGTCCTGTTTGAAGCCATCTGTTACACTTGAATTAATGTGGATCCTGAATAGGTGGCCACAGAACTCAGTCGTTTCCCCTTCTTTTAAACATAAGAGGAGCTGAGTCATGGTGTAGATTTAGTAACTGCTAAATCAGAGCAGGAAGAACCCATGAACATGCTTATTTGGTTGAAGGAAACTTTTTTTTTTCCTGACCGCTCACATTCTAGCTGAAAACAGGGGAACATGATTCATGGATTTTTTTTTTTTTGGAAGGTGAGCCCTAATAGCACACGGCCACCTCCGTCCTCCATTACGCTTAACCGTGGCAGCTGGAGAGTTTGTTTTTCTCAGATACAGTAGGGAAAGTCACAAAAAATAGACAGTTTCCATTCTTTCTGACCTCATTCATTTGCTGACGCACTTATCTGGGTTTTTTTTTTTAGCATTGCAGCAATGAGGCTGTTTTTCCAAAGAATTAGTCTCGGCCTTAGTGAGCAGCTTTTTTTTCTTAGTTCTTTATGACAAAGAATATTGTAGGCTATTATCAAGTTGTGCAAATGAACCATTAGCATATTGTATCTATTAATGTAATAGTGTAGTGTAATAATAATAATTCTATAATCATATACTGACTATTAATACTGGCACAGTAT